ATAGTTTCTATATGAAACTGAACAGGGAGACATGAGTTCCAGGCAGCCATCATCTATTCTGTGTATATATCCCGAGTGGCCTTATTGTTTCCTATTTCTTTGCCATACCTGTAACAAAATCTTGCCCCCAGCAAGCACGGAACACCAGTGTTAGACTCTGAGGTCCCTTCTTGGGCCAGGATCTCACATTGCTGAACAAAGCTAAGACCAGTTCCTTCTGACATACTTCTCTCTACTTGCCACTACTCATACATTCCCTCTACTTGCCACTGAACATCAGCCATCTCTCAGCCATGCCCTCCCTGGCTCCTTTATGGTCCATTCTTGCTGGCTGACACGCTCAATTTTCACCCTCATCTCCCTCAGCAGCTGAGATTACAACTATCGGCTGGCTTTGCACTAGGGATTTCTGCACCCTTCACCTTTCTGCTGTTGGCAATAGGACCCTTCACTCACCAGCCTTGGGTGATGCTGAGCTGTTATCAAAGAGCTGTGTTTCCCCCAATGAGACTCCACCAGCCCCTGCCACACTGCTGTTGCACAGACACAACCAACATAAAGGGTTCCTACATTCAAAATCTTGCTTGGCTCAAAGGGATACAGCAGAGACCACACAGGGCCATGGCATCTGCACCATCCTGCTCCTCTTCTCACACTTTTTTACAAGGCAAAGTCACCTATTTTTTAAAAAAAAACCCTAAAATTGAAATGTAATTAAAATTAAAAGTGTTAAACCCTGATCCTTCAAATAAATACTGGTGTGTTACCTTTGCTTTTTGTTTACTGGTTACTAATTCAGTAATTTTGGATACCCCAGTCAGAGAGCCATTAGTGAGATTTCGCTGCTGCTGCTTTCTTCTCCTCTCAGTCCAACCTCTCTCACCTAACTGCATACCTCAAATGAGAATTTCAAGTAATCACTAGCTTGACTTCTGGGTTTGAAAAAACTATCGCCCCAGGAACCCAGCTGCAAGGCAAAGAGCTATAATGAATGCTGATAGCTTGTGCTTGCTTTGCCCACATCTTTCTGGGTTTGAGTGAATCTGAAACTGCAGATGAAATTCAAAGAATGTGAAACCATATGCATCAACAGCATCTAGAAAGTCTGTCAAAATCGGCATGGTTTGAACAGCTCTATCTACCTATGTACTCATGTTGCTCCATCACTACAGTATTTGAATTTACCCAATTGAAAGCTTTTTTCCCCTTTAGTCCCTCTGCTTGTGTGGCAGAGAAAAAGGTTCAAACACCATGATGAATCCCTAATTATAGGTTTGTCAATCCCTCCAGGTAAGTGGTAGCCAGTCTACTTGACAGTGATGGATAAATATATAACAGGAATTGTATTCCTGGGAGAAGATTAAAACAAAAGTTCTATAGAGGCAAACCTTTCAGTTGCCTTAAGAATTCTGAGATGCCTAGATGCTACAGTGATGACTGTGGTAGAAATGATTTGATAAAGATCTATATAGATGAGCAATTAAGAAAATCAAGGAATGTGCTATCAGCTGTTACACTTAATAGCTATAATTTTCTGTAAATGGTAGTAATACCTTTTTCATGTATTCAAGTACATGGCTGAGGTATTGCTTGTTATTAAAGAATGAACAAATATAAGAAAATAATTATAAAGTTCCCTCTGGAATTCTGCATAGACTATCTGTAATGTTTGGTTGAGTCACCTGAAAACTCTTTGGGGATGTCCATGGCCTGCATTTTCAGTCTCATGAGCATTTAAAATATCAAGTTTGGTAACTGCCATCTGTCCCAAAATTGGCAGGAATGCCTCAGTTTCATCAAGTGATACTGAGTCCTGATATTACGGAGCCTGAAATACATTTAGGACAGAAATTTCTAAATGTATTTCAGGCTCTGTAATATCAGGACTTAGTATCACTTGATGACACGTCATCATGCTATAAGCAGTCAAATCACACACTGAGAATACTTTTTTTTTGCAGGACCAACAAAACTGCAGCAAAAAATGACACTAGTTCTGATTTCATCACATCTCTCAGGGTTTTCATGGCAGCCAAATTTCCAGCACATCACAAGCCCTCTGCACCATCATCAATTTGCATCCCTTGCCTTGTCTACACTACTGGGATAAGTTGACCTAAGTTATGCTGCTCCAGCTACATGAACAATGTAGCTGGAGTTGACATAGCTTAGGTTGACTTACTGCGGTGTCTACACTGTGCTGCATCAACAGGAGACACTCTCCCGTTGACTTACCTTACTCCTCTCGTTCCAGTGGAGTACCGGAGTCAACCAGAGAGCACTCTGCCATCAATTTAGTGGGTCTTCATTAGACCTGCTAAATCAACCCCCCACTGCATCGACTGCAGCAGTGTCAATCCCCACAGTGTCAATCCTCTGTGTCACGATGAGATGATGCGGTGTCAAATATGTTACAATGTAAAGCCATGACTTTGGGCGGGGGTAACCAGTACATTTCAGAAGTGAGGATCATTTCTATTGCCTAATTCAGTTTAGTATGTAGTTTATTAATCTAGGAAGGATTAGAAAACAAAAGAACAAACAGTTCTTAATGTAGTGCCTGTATTACTTAGAAACAAATATAAGCTCTTGCGCAGGACAAGAGCTGGTCAGGAATTTTCCATCAGTGGAAAATGCAGTTTCTGCACATTTGAAATTTCTGAAGGATTATTTTGATTTTGCCAAAATGTTTTGATTTTCTGTTAGGAAAAGTGATACAAAATGTTTAATTTGGGGTCATTTCAACCCAAATCTAATTATTTTGGCTTATTGAACTGATCCAAAATGTTGCACTTGAAGTTAGTTCAGCATTAAACTGCATTTTCCTGTTGTGGCACATTGCCTCATGGGAGATGTAATTCTGAGACCTAATACCCCCATTCTTTTCTATGGACCAGGCTTGCTGTCCAGAGTACTTCTCCTCTGTGCCTAAGCAGGATGGTACATCAAGGAAGTCATGTGGCTGCGTGAAAGGTCACCTGGCCTGAGAGTATATGGCCCTAGGAAAGAATTGGGGCATGGAACCTGAATTACAACTTCTATGTGCCACCATAGAGGAATGCAGTTTATTATAGAATTGACTCTAGATGAAACATTTTGGGACAGTTCAACAAACTGAAACAAAGCACATTTAGTGTCAGAAAAACCAAAATATTTTGTTTTGATAGCAAATGCCAAAATGAAATATTTCACCATTTCCAAATCTTTTATTTTAAATGTGTCATTCCTCAAAAGTTTTTGATATTTCAATTCTTTGTCCTGATCTGGGTCACAAACAAACGGTTGAAATATCAGAATGTCCTGCAGGAAGGATATTTCGATTTCACTCAGTTCTATTCAGGACTGTGCATGCCGGTTTATTTGGAACTAAATGCCTTATTTCTTCCTATTGTTTAAAATATTCAAAATAATAGGAAGAAATGAGGAATTTAGAAACAAAACCATAATGAACTAGAATAAGTTCTTGACCAATTCTAATACATATTACACCATTAAAGTGAGATTAATTTGAGGCAAAAAAGCCTATTGATATTAGATAAAGAAGGATGACTCAAGCCAATATCATAGCCTTGCTTCTGATTCCCTTGATTTTGTTGGTATGCATTCGATTGACATTTATATTTTGATCATTTATTTTATGTTTCACTATAGGTGAAATCCTGGACTCATTGAAGAGAATATGAATTTTGCCATTGACTTCAATGGCCCAGGATTTCATTCTATATGCTGATTGTTTTGGTTGTTTATGACTTGCCAAAACATTACATACATACACATACATTATTATATAAATGCACATACACACACTCATGTATATGCACGGATATAAACTTACAGATAATAAATAGAGTATAAAATGCACCTATATAAAAAAGGAACTCAAGTCACCATATTAAACACAATTGAAGAGAGCATCCTTTTCCTGGAAGAAATGTATGTAAAGATTACATTACAATAAAAATGTTAACAGTGCTAAAATGATCTGCATAATTGCCTACATGCTGCATTTATGATTTTATTTTTTTTTAAAATTAATAAATATTTTAGGGGTGCCAATTCTATCCCCTACGGACTTATCCCATAATTTAAAATATACAGGAGAACAAAAAGGACTGCCCATACATAAATTAATATCTAGGCTATAAGGAAGCTGCATTGTCTTGAGGTCAGAACAAAGGACTTAAAAAGTCAAATATTGTTTTTATTTACACCTGCACAGCAGAGCAATGGCTCTTAAGAGTTTGAAAGAGTCTAGAATGCCAACTGCTGAATAAGCATGTGACCACAGACAAATCATCTGGAAGCTCTGAGCTTCACTGACCCCAACAGGAACTTGCTGAAAAGCAAACCAAGCTGTTGCATGCTAGTCTGACTATCAAAACCATTTTTATAATGGACTTAGGGCTTGTCTTCACTACGGGGGTAAGTCAACCTAAGTTACGCTACTCCAGCTATGTGAATAACATAGCTCCAGTCGACGTAGCTTATGTTGACTTACCCAGGTTTCTTCACTGCGCTGCATTGATGGGAGATGCTCTCCGGTGTACTTCCCTTACTATTCTTGGAGAGCTGGAGTACCAGGGTCAACCGGAGAGCACTCTGCCATTGATTTAGCGGTTCTTCACTAGACCCGCTCAATTGATCCCTGCTACATCGACTGCAGCAGTGTCAATCTCCCCGTAGTGAAGACCAGCCCTTAGTAAGGTTAAATTGAATCCCTAGAGATTTTTCATCTCTCTTGGAATTTATAAAGGACAACAATAAAAATGCTTGATTGTAGAGATTTGCAACTCTGCATGTCTCAATGGCTTAATGCACATATTTGATTTAAAATGTCTAATATTGAGGTATTTTGATAACACAGCTACTAAATTCAAATATACTTTGTCCTCACAAAACTGCCATAGTTACTATTAATCCCCACTGCCACCCACGCACACACATATTTAAAATTAAATTACAGCTCATGTACTGTAAAAATATAATAAGTTGTGTCCTACCTATGGTGGTAATAACAGTGCCAGCGAAGAAGAAGGAACTTCCCAAGTCCCAGTGACTGATTTGAGATGTGTTTCTTAAAGGTATGATTCCTGCATTTATTGCTGACACTACGTGCTGCAAGTTTAAAAAAGATACTTGTCAATATTCATGAAACATAAACAATGATGTTAACATACATTATGCAGTAGATTCACAAAGATAAAGCCACTTATTAGATGTAAACAGCGAAAAAGAGAAAGGCTCACTTTGGTCAGTTGGAGTTTTGCCGTTGACTTTAATGAGGCCAGTATTTAATCCTTAGAGTAAATTTCAAACATTGACTTCAATGAGTTTTGGATCACCCTAACTAGATGAAACAATTAGAATTAAAAATGTAACCTTTTCTCTGTATGCAGAAAAACACATATTACATGAACACTTTACATTTAGTTTCCCAACTACTGTTCACATTGACTCCATGGAACTATCTGCAAGTAAGGAAAGCAAGATTCGGTCCATAGTTTTAAAAAACAGAGCCACATCATCCCAACAGTTGTTAAGGAGAGATTCCCACTTATATCAGTGGAAAAGTCTGTTTTAAAATGCTGGTAAAATATGTCCCAGAGTAATTTTATGTCAAATAAATTCCAGTTAATTAAGAACATTCATAGAGGATAGAAAATGTAATAATTAAATATCTTTAATTGTATGATAAGGTTATTAAATCTTCAATATGACAACCACAAATTCAGCATTAAATATTATACAATAATTATCCATATAAGTTGACCTCTAGATTTATACTATTATATATGTAATACAGGTAATTACTGAAAATGTATTTCTCAAACACATCAGTTCTGTCAATGGAAATGAATGAGCACAATTATTGTGAAATTTACATTTTCACAAAAAATTCCCAGATCCTGCAGTGTCATCTCACTGAGATTTATCTTATCACAAAAAAGTCCCTGTGTAGCAGTTTCTAGTGCAGACCCATACCAGTATTTATTTTATTTTTAAACACCAAGAAATAATGCTATTTTAAAACTTATTAAACTGTTTTATGAAATATAAATTAAGGGTGTATTCTATAACATTCACTTAAAGCAGAACAAATTTTACAAGTGATCATTATAATGGTAATTGGTGTTTCAAAAACCAACAAACAGTACAATATTGAAGTGAATGTTTTAACTACCCAAGGCCTAAGCACAGGTATTGTGAACTTAGCTATTCCATATACTTATTCTGGAATAGCTCTCCATGTGGACATTCTTCCAGTGACTTTATTCCAGAATAATACAAAGTTAAGTAATTATTCCAGAATAAAATCACTTTTATTCTAACACACACTGGGGAATTATTCTAGAATAGAAAATTAATAAAATTAGAACTATTCTAGAATAGCTATGCCAGTCAATTTCTCTCCATATAGACAAGTCCTCAGAGCCAGCATGTTCAACTTGTTACTTTCAAAGGTCAGTTGCTTAAGTAGTAGCTGTTAGGAAGCCCAGGACTGCAACTATATGTCTTTAAAGGTTTTAATTTTGATTTGCTTTAAAAATAGCCATGGCAGATCTCAAAGGTCTGAAAATTCAGGTGTGTATCCAAAAGTTTGGATGCCTATTCATAACTTAACTCTAGTATGCTTTCCCCATCAGGGTGTTTCATTTCACAAGCACCCGCTCCTGTGAGCAGCTGCATACTGACCGCTCAGACAACAAGACTAGGTGTTTGTAATATGGAGCACCAGGGGGTGAAAGCAGAGCTGCAGGCTTTCTGCGCCCAGCCTCAAGGCAAGGAATCTCTTCCCCCATGCTACTGAAAGACAGGTTGTGTACAGGCACAGCTCTCCTCCCCTCTCACAGCGCCACAGTGAGAAGTCAGGGTGATTGCGGCTACTGCTCTGGGTTGGAGCTGAGATCAGAACTCCAGTGGATTGCAAGGCCACAGCTCTCCCCAACTCTAGATCAGAGAGAAGTGCTTTAACCCCAGTATAGGAACAGGGAATCCCAGGAAACCTTAACCTCCTCTTCCCTCACCTCCCATCCCCCAAAGAGACTAGCATATTTTAAAAGAGGTGACATACTATTATTATTAAATAGTAACACATAGAAATAATAATGTCTAGCTCTTACACAGTGCTTAATTATTAACCCCAATCATCACATTTTTAAAATAAGAAATGGAAGGCCCTTAAATGAAGATAAGGGGCAGGATTGTCTTCTTGCCTAATACTGGTGTAAATCAGAGTTACACTAGTGTAAAAATTGGTGAGAGAGAAGAATCAGGTCCAGTATCTGTAAATTGTATATATGCTTACTGACAGTGCTCAGAAGACATATAAACTACTGTGACTTAATATTATATTTATGGGGTTAGGGCATACATATAGAATCACAGAAATGTAGGGCTGGAAGGGACCTCAAAAGGTCACCTAACTCAGCCCCCTGCACTGAGTAGACCTAGACCGTCCCTGACAGGTGTTTGTCTAACCTATTATTAAAAACCACCAATTACGGGGATTCCACAAGCTCCCTTGGAAGCCTACTGAAGAGCTTAATTACCCTTACAGTTAGAAAGTTTTTCCTAGTATCTAACCTAAATCTCCGTTGCTGCAAACTAATTGTCTTGTCCCACCATTGGAAGACATGGTAAGCAATTTTCACAGTCCTCTTTACATATTTGAAGACTGTTATTAGGTCTCCCCTCAGCCTTCTCTTCTTCAGACTAAACATGCCCAGTTCTTTCAACCTATCCTCATAGGTCATGTTTTCTAAATCTTTTATCGTTTTTGTTGCTGTCCTCTGGACTGTCTCTTGAATTTGTCCATATCTTTCTTACAGTGTGGTGCCAAAAACTGGACGCAGTGCTCCTGCTGAGGCCTCACCAGTGCTAAGTAGAGCAGAACAATTACCTCCCATATCTTACCTACGACACTCCTATGAATACATTCCAGAATGACATTTGCCTTTTTTGCAAGATCATGCTATTGATTCACATTCAATTTGTGGTCCACCATAACCCCCAGATTCTTTTCTGCAGTACTACTGCCTAGCCAGTTATTTCCTATTTTGAAGTTGTGCATTTGATTTTTCCTTCCTCAGTGAAGTATTTTGCACTTGTCTTTATTGAATTTCAACTTATTGATCTCAGACCAATTCTCCAGTTTATCAAGATCATTTTGAATTTTAATTCTGTCCTCCAAAGTGCTTGCAACCCCTCCCAAGTTGGTGTCATTCACAAATTTTATAAGCATATTCTCTACTCCAACATCCAAGTCGTTAATGAAAATGACTGTGGGACTTCACTTGATGTGTCCTCCAAGTCTGACACTGAACCATTGATAACTACTCTTTGAGGAGAGTTTTTCAACCAGTTGTGCACCCACCTTATAGTAATTTCATCTAGCCTATATTTCGTTAGTTTGCTTTTGAGAATGTCATGTGGGAATCTCATCAACAGAACTTGGTCCAATAACAGACATTACCTCACCCACCTTGTCTCTCTAATATCCTGGGATTGACATGGGTACAACTACACTACATATGTGGAACTGTGTCAAACCTTTCTAAAGTCAAGCTATAATATGTCTACTGCTTCCCCCCGTCCACTAAGCCAGTTACCCTGTCAAACAAGGAAATTAGATTGGTTTGGAATTATTTGTTCTGAACAAATGCATGTTGACTATTACTTATCACCTTATTATCCTCTAGATACTTACAAACTGACTGTTTAGCAATTTGTTCCAGTCTCTCTCTAGGTAGCAAAGTTAGGCGGATTGGTCTATAATTCCCCAGGTCCACCTTTTTTGTCCCTTTTTAAAATAGCTATAGTTCAGATTGTAAATATATCGAGTAAACAAAATTCAGAATTCACTGTTGGATTGGATCTGGACAACACGGCCTTGCGTACATTAGCACATTCTACATCAGTTAACAGTAATGAGTGAACCTGGTATTGATCACTGTTTAAATGTTAGTGTAAAAAGACAAACTATTTTAAGCAACATGCCAAAAAGATCTGTTATACTAATTTAGTTATGCAATAATAGTACTATACAAATAGTCCTTTTGCTCTTGGAAATTTTGCTGTACTACATTCAGACCACACTTCGGGGTGCAGCATGGTTTCACTTCAATGTGAAAGGGTTTTGATCATAAATCCCTGCACCTGGAAATGGGAACATACTTCCTAGTGTGTATGTGATGTGGTAAAGCAGGAGATCAATACACTTTTATGGGACTATCCATGAAGTGTTGTGGTTCTTTTGTATTGCAGTAACACTGTACAGAGCAATGCACATGTTTTTAAGCAGTTTTACCAAGACTGACCTTTCTAATGTGATAGAGGCAAAATGTTTTCTGCACTTTTTACTGTACATCATTCTCTCTTATATATAAGGTCTGTTCATCTGTAAAATATGAGGATACATTAACACTATCAATGTCATACCTATGGTACACTGCAGTTGATGACCACATCAAGAGATCTCTCCCTTGGTCAAAAGGGTACAACTTGAAGATGTTTTTAGTCACAAAGGGACAAGAGATGCCAGTCTCCATTATGCACTTGTTAAATTTTAAAACAAACAGTTTTGTGCTTTCTCCAGTGCTGCCCTTCACGCTTGGAAGGAGCTCTCTGTAAACCTCCGCAAAGCTCCATGATTATCCACCTTCAAATCCCTCCTCAAAACTCTCCTTTGCTGTGATGCCTACAAAAAACCTGACTGTTTTAGGCTGTCGGTATGCAAAGACCACGGCCTGTGATGCAGACCAGTATTGTTTCCTTGTCCTTCCACATCTGTCTGTCTGTCTGTCTGTCTCCAGCTGTCGGACATAAATTGTAAGCTCTTTGGGTCAGGCATCATCGTTTTGTGTTCTGTGTTTGTACACAGTCTAGCACAATGAGGTCCTGGTCCACGACTAAGGCTCCTCAGTGCTACAGTAATATAAATAATAAATAATAATATCTCCAGTTGATATAAATCCACATAGTTCCCTACATTTCAGAACTGGGAATGTGGTTCAAAGCATCCAATATAGTCTTCGACATCTCTCTTTTTAATGTGTCTGCCCTACTGACCACAAAGTTACCTAGAACCATGGTTCCCAAACCTTTTAGTACTTAGA